CCGTTCTCCTCTTATCAATCAGCAGTTTGGCTCAATCTGGATCAGCTTTGTGCTTCCCAAAGGTCTGGCTTCAGTTAACGTCTGTGTGTTGTAGCTGACAACACTTGACATGACAATCATACCTTGTTCCTCTGAAAATGTCACAGACAAGATGTTCCTCATACTCTCTCTCTCTCTCTCTCTCTCTCGCTCTCTCTCTCTTTCTTTTTTTTTCTTCCTCCAGTCATTTAGAGGAGGTGGTGTTCGCCTGCGGCTGTGAGATTCGCTGGCTGCAGCTATGGCAACAGAGAGGGGAGGCGGGTCTTAGCAGCCAACAGTTGTACTGTACCGACGGCTACAGGAAGATACTTCTGCAAGATATGAATATAAGCAGCTGTGGTAGGCTTCAAGTGTGAAAATTAGCGCCCGACACTCACTCCTACACACTCTCACACCGACAGAGAGCGTTGACTCCTGGTACACGTCTCAATATTTCCTCTCCTCAAACGTAAAATAAAACCAAGCACGGCTAATATTTTAACACCTTACGACTGTTTGAAGATTGAATAATTGGAAGAATGAAAGCATCAGCCGTGTTGGAGACGTGAATACAAACAATAAAATGTGCCCTCTGGACCAATGAGGGTCAGGCTAGAAAAAGTCCTGCACTCCTTGGGTAGAAATGGGCACCGTCAAGACCCCCGGTCAATCATGCTACTAAAAATAAACATTTAAATCTCTCGAAATTCCTGCAGGTTTAAAAATGCCTTCAGTGTGGAGTTTTTCTGCCAAAGTTAATTTTCTAGTCATAAAAAATTGTTCAATTCCAAAAACTCAATGACTAACAGCTGGCTGCCCGTGGGCCGGATATGGTCTGTCCAATCTGGGCCGTGACTGGAGTCCAACTTTGAGAGAATCAAAGAGAAAATATTGTTTGGTCCCCACTATTAAAACAACTGAAAAAAAAACCATCGACTGAGATTTAAATAACTCTCACTGATCCCTAACATTTATGGCTGTATTTACAGCCTGTTCGACAAAAATGTGATTTTTAATTTTCTTTTTTTGAGTGTCAAAAAAAACCCCATACATAAGTCACTCCACAGTATAAGTCGCACCAGTGCTTTCTAGCGTCCATCAGTGTTAAATTAACAAACATGGAAATGTTTAGTGGTACAGGAGTAGCAGATACTGGTACACATGCCCTCTAGTGGCTGTCAGTGTGAAAATAACAAACATGTGAAATTATATATTTTAGTATATAGGTTTTGCCTGAGTATAAGTCGCAAAACCAAGGATGAAAAAAAAAAGGTGCGACTTATAGTCCGGAAAATGCAGTAGTTGGTGACCTCTGCCATGAGGCCGTACAGTCATAGACTTTCACCAACATTTACTGTCGTACAATCTGATTCCCTTTACAGCTAACTCTCTGGTAGCTTAGCATGATTGTAGTTGTCCTCCACGTTGATCCATTTAGGGAACATGACCCAAACTCAAACGCAGGACGATCATATGTGAAGAATTGTCTCCACACAGGTCCAGTTTCTCAGGGATCTGTTCTCGTGGAATCTCCGTCCATCATCACGTCTTCTCTCATGTCTCTTCTCTCTCAGACCTGCCTGATATCAGTGTCAGCCACAGCAACCTCACAGTTATCGAGGGGGATCGTGTAACGGCCATTTGCAATGGCTCTGGATCCCCATTACCAGAGGTGGACTGGCCCGTCAACGGCCTGCACTCCATCAACGCACAAGAGGTTAGGTGTGAACACGCACTTATTCACCAGGATGGGTTGAACAGCTGTAAAGGACATTAATAAACGCAGTACTTTTTTGTAACTAGTCCACACGGTGTGGACCACAGTCGGTTCTACAGCCTGTGTCTAATGAGTAGAAATCAGAGTCCTGTAACGTAGAATTAATTCACAGTTCGTTACATAGCAGCCTGTGTCTAATGAGTAGAAATCAGAGTCCTGTAACATAGGATTACTTCACAGTTCATTACACAGTATTATTGTTACTATTATTATGATTATTATGGACAGATCAACTGTTTGTTATTGTAATCAATGTGTTTATATTTAGTTTGGCTCTAACAAAAATAATGGTAGAATATTCATTCATTTTCATGAATTTAAAGGGTACTACTATATGGTACTATATGGTACTATATGGTACTATATGGTACTATATGGTACTATATGGTAGTACTTCACGGTGCCTAATCAACGGCCTTGCCCGATATGTGGTACTATATGGTACTATATGGTACTATGGTACTATGTATGGTACTGTATGGTACTCTTTGTTAGTGTATGGTACTCTATGGTACTGTATAGTACTGTATGGTACTGTACGGTAGTGTATGGTACTGTATGGTACTCTATGGAACTCTATGGTACTCTATGGTACTGTATGGTACTCTATGGTAGTCTATGGTACTGTATGGTACTGTATGGTACTCTATGGTACTCTATGGTACTGTATGGTACTGTATG